CCAAATTCTCCCCTAGTTGACAGGTCCTCCTTAACCTGCTTGGGATGAGCGGCTCACAGGAGAGGCCCAAGGAGGGTGGTGGGCAACAGAGGAGTGGGAGGAGGGGCTGGGAGTCTTGCCCAGATGGAAGGCCAAGGTCAGCAAACCCTGAGGGGCCCCTGAGGTGGCAAGCAGGGTTTGAAGACTCAGAATGAGGCATACCGGGTGGGCGTAGGTGGATGGTGGGATAGGCCCAAGTTTTACTCACATCCAGGATGGTACTAGCTTCACGACCCTGCGGCTGCCTCCCCAGCCCCCACCAAGTGGGGGGGGAGAGTGAGGGTGCTCACTGCAGCTATTGCCACTCTGAAACTGTCACCTGCAGCTGCAACCGCTGTTGGTGTCCTCTAAGATGGCCACCAGACGCTGCCCAGGTAATAGGCAAAATGAGTATCTTGGGGTGGTGGGGCACTGTGTCTCCTTTCCAGGCCACTGTCAAAATAAAAGCAGACAAAAGTAGATTGTTTAACAATCACCTCCAACATGGCAGCAAAGCTGAGCTCCTTCTAAGACTGTGAGCAGGATCTCACTTTTAACCTAGTCTTTGCCATTCATGAGTCAGTCGTGAATGTTTGTCGAGCGCCCATCAGGCCCCACGACATGCTAAGCCTAGCTGGAGCGAGCCAAGTCCCTATCCTCCAGCAGTCGACAGGTAATGGTGACAGTGGACAGGAGAGGAGAGAAGGGGGCGGAGGGGAGGGTGTGTGGGGAGAAGAGGCCAGGCCTGGCTGGGGTATCCTCTCCCGGGGTCCAGGCTGTGGTTCATGCCGTTCTTATCTGAGACGCCCCTTTTAGTGAGCACCCAGCTCCTCCCCAGAGATTCAGAGAGTGGCTTCAGGCCACTTGCCTGTGGACCTCATGCCTTCTTCTTGGTGGATTTGCTGGCCCAGTTATCCTGGGCCCCAGAGAGTCCCAGTGAAGGGCCACACTTAGCCCATGGTGTTCTTTTTTTTTTTCTTTTTTTGAGACAGTCTCGCTCTGTTGCCCGGGCTAGAGTGCCATGGCATCAGCCTAACTACAGCAACCTCAAACTCCTGGGCTCAAGTGATCCTCCTGCCTCAGCCTCCCGGGTAGCTGGGACTATAGGCACGTGCCACCATGCCCGGCTAATTTTTTCTATATATTTTTAGCTGCCCAATTAATTGCTTTCTATTTTTGGTAGAGACGGGGTCTCGCTCTTGCTCAGGCTGGTCTCGAACTCCCGAGCTCAAAGGATCCGCATGCCTCAGCCTCCCAGAGTGCTCAGATTACAGGCGTGAGCCACCGCGCCCGGCCCCCATGGTGTTCTTGATGGGTGAGATGGATCAAGAGTTGACAAGAACAGGAGTCGTCAGCGCCCCCAATCCCAGAGCTTTGGCTGACTCGCTCACCCAGAACCAGAGAGGGCAGGCCATGCAGGCTGGGTTGGCTGGGAAGAGAGGAGGGTGTGGACTGGAGGATGGGGCACCTGGGGATTTCAGCGGCTGAGCTAACCCTGGGGCTGGAGCTGTGCGGCTCCTCCTCTGCCCCCCGTGCCCAGCTCCCTCCCGCCTCTGTAGGCACCTCTGGAAGAAGGTGTGTCTGATGCTGCCGCAGACCGGGCGGGGCAGGGCCCGGGCAGGTGCTTACTCCATGCATGAGTGACTGGGTTGGTCTGGCCCCTGGGGCTGTGCTGGTCTCAGAGCTGGCAGTCCTGGGTCTCTATGCCAGGGAGCTGGCTGGCAGTCAACAGGAAGTGAGTCCCAGAGTGAGAGGAGGCCGGGTGGCCCGGGCAGGAAGTGACAGTGGAGTTGCCTTGAGCAGCTTTGCGGGGCTCAGAGCCTGCCCCAACCTCAGGTGTCTGGGGGGCAGAAAATGGCGGGAGGAAAGAAAGACACAACCATGGTAAGAGATTGGCTCTGGCCTAAACTCAGGCTGACTTGGCCAGACAGGACCCCACATCCACCTCCCTGGTAGTGCCATGTTCGGGGCTCAGTGGTGCCCACCACAGCTGGACCACAGCTGTCTGGGCAGGGATGCACTGCACTCTCGCCTGCCTGGGCACATGGCGGAGGCTTGGAAGGTGACAGGTTTTACACCAGAGAGGATCATTCTAGGCCGGAGATGCCCTATTTGCTTAAGCACTGATGTGGGAGAGAACATTCTGAGCCCTGGGGGGGGTCCCGACACACACGGGGTGGAAGCTGAGGCGGTGGACAGGGGTCTGCTTGTTTCACTTTCCTTCCCGTGTTCGGCCTTCCTGGCTCTGCTGGCGTAGACCCAGGCCCGAGTCCAGCGGAGGACTTCTCACTTCCCCCAGACGCCTCCTCTTCCTCCTCTTGCGGCCCCCCACCCCCAGCTCTGAGGCGCACACATGCGCGGCTTTCCACGGGAGGCCACCCCGCACAGCCCGGGAGAGCAGCTTGGCAAGGCCCCTGGAGCGCCTTCTGCTTCCTCTCAGGCTGCTCCGTGTGCCTGGGAGCGTCGTCCAGGGAGGGAAGCCTACCTGGGAGGACTCGGGTTTGGTCCTGTTTTTTTCCAAGGCCCTTGTCCCTATTTGCCACCTCTGGGCTTCCTCACCAGATAGCAGCGGACTCAGAGTTCAAGTCCTAGACCCTTAGAGCAGAAGCAGCCTTGGAAATCGGGCTGTGCAGGGGAAGGGCTGGGTACACAGAGCGCCCTCGGGCTGTGCACTCGAGTGGCCCACCTTTCTCAAGGGCATGTGGCAGTGTCTCTGAACACTTAGATGGGCAGGCCCTTTCACCTGGCCAGTCCACGTGTGAAACTCTGTCTTACAAAACACGCAGGTGTACAGGGCTGTAAGTGCAAGGATATTCACTGCAGCAAAAAGTAAACCAGCCTGAATGCCCACCGTCAGGGAGCTGTTTGCATAAATTTTGGAGCATTCGGATCCATATGCACTGGGATGGAGAGGTGCCCGCTATGCTTGTTAAGTGAAAAAGCAAGTTGCAGAACATTATGACTAGTATGTTACCCTTTTAAAAAAAACATGTCTGGATCTGAATGTGTGTAAGAATACATATGTATAAACATGTAACTTAACACATGATTGTAGATGCATAGAGAAAAGTCTGGAAAGGATACTCGCCAAACTGTTAATAATTGTTTACCTTGGGGTAATGATTTTGGGGGTGGGGAGTTGGAATAGGAGCTTGAGGCCTGGCAAGGTGGCTCACGCCTGTAATCCGAGCACTCTGGGAGGCTGAGGCGGGAGGATAGCTTGAGCTCATGAGTTCGAGACCAGCCTGAGCAAAAGTGAGACCCCGTCTCTACTAAAAACGGAAAAAATTAGCTGGGTGTTGTGGCGTGTGGCTGTAGTCCCAGCTTCTCGGGAGGCTGAGGCAGGAGGATCGCTTGAGCCCAGGAGT